CGCTGCAGGGGTGTCCAAAGAGTCCATGGGTCACACGTGGAAGGGCATTGCCCGCAAGAAAGTACGCATGACAGACAGTCCCGCTAGCAGCTATAGCAGCATGGTTTGTGTCTCCGGATCACCAAGCAAAGCCACAGGGTGCTTTGTCATAAGTATGTAGAGTAGTTAGGAGTGCCCGCTCTGACATTCTATGCCCAGAGGGGTGTACAATTTGATCCATGCCACAAGGCTCACTAGCTGAGAAGGGGCACCCTGCACGTCTGGGTCTTTTGCATACAGCGATTCCAGCACAAACTTGGCTGAGCATTGAACTTGGGTAGTATGTTGGACCCTTCCAAATTGCCAAATGCTGGAGGCCGGGAGAACCTAGACCCTGAGACCTTGCGCTTTGACAGGCCTTGCAGAACCAAGTCTTCAGGACGTCTGCCGATATCAAGGCCAGTGCCAACTGATGTGGTTTAGGGCTCAGGTTTCCCTTGGGTCTCAGGGCTTCCAAGTTGTACGTATCCTCACGGGCTCCAATATGTGTGAAGCTATCATGTGAAGATCTTGTCTGCCGCAGGCAGTCATCCGAGCGCAGATTTCAAACGAAAACGCGCAGTGCAAGGTGGGGCCAAGACCTCGTCCATGCAGAATTCATTAGTGGGGATGCCGGCACCATTTCGGCTTCAAGGATGGGATAAACGGGTTTGCGGGTCATTCATGGTGTCAGCGGATTATCTACATAGACCTGTATCTGGCCTCTTCATGACCAAGCCCGAAACGAAACTAGAGTGCTTGTGAAACATAGCTGTTGTTGCGGGTAGCCTGTGGTTCAGGCTAGCAGTAGGCTTCGACATGCTGCGGCAGAGGTCGCGCATGGCATTCGTTTGTTTGGTAGGCTGGCAGTTGAAGAGTCAAAAAGTGGTCTTCTTCAGTTCCCCGACTCTAGAACAAAGCCTCCTCGACTGTGTCAGGGGTCAGCATTGCATGTGTGAGAAAAAGGTTCCCGTAATCTTACCAGTGGAAACAGGGCAATACCGGGACATCCCAGTCAATGCGCGTTATGGACCTTATCGGAGGTCAGGGGATACGGTTGAGCTGCTGAAGTGTGGACAGGGCCGTTGAGCTTCTATGCCGGCCGGCGGAACTAGGGTACAGCTTCTAACCTCAGAAGGGGGTATGTAATGTTCCGGGAAGAGATTACTCCTGCTAAGTGTCAGATTGGTTGGCCTATCAGCACCAAGGTGTGTAGCTTCCTTTCATCCAACAAATTCTCGGGCATTCTCGGGCTTGACATTGAGCTGGAGCCTCGTAAGGCTTCTCCGGCTCCTCAACCTCATCGTCTAGATCGTTACTAGCCCAGACGCATCAATTTAAGCTGGTGGTGTCCATTACGCAGCCTTGCGTTGTGGACTTTCAAGATGCAGCGGCAGAGAGAAAGACAGAGACATGGGTGCTTAACAACAGAGAAGGCATTTGTAGGTATCTTCTATACAAAGGCAGTTGTCGGATCGGTGTGCCCTGAGAACTGTGTTTGGATGGTGGGATGGTGGGATTGGGGGGGTTTTGTCTATGGGGTGGGTTCAGACCTCGATGACATCTTTGCCAGGAGTCGCATAAGCACCACCGATTCAACATGAGCTGAGCACAGTCTCTTCAATTTTTGCAATCAAAGCCCAGAAAGCCGCGTCCCCAGTCCCTGACTGGCACTTCGGAAACGAATTGCTTGTGGGCCTTCGTGAATACTGCAGAGGCATTAATACCAGGAAACCTTTGCATCCAAGAGTTTCCGTACCTAACGCTGTGCCTTTGTTCCTTCATCTGCTTGCAGAATTGCATGCTGCAGGATGACAATAACAGTTGGAGATGCAAGACATGTAGCTTCCCGTCTGGGTTGCGCACAATATGGATACTTCCAACAAGAAGGTGTGCCTGGCTGAGACATCTTTCAAAACCACACGCCTGGCAGGACGAGGAGTTTTACCACACAACCGGCTGTGCCCAGCATATGGCCAGGCGGACCGTCATCAGCTTACTAAGATCTCCAAGCAAGCCACCTAGACACTAAGATTCCTAATCCTGTAACCTGCACCCTGGAACTTTGGAAACGTGATGAAGATTGATGAAGGCAAGGGTGGACAGGGGGCATCTGGCTGAAGGCTGCCCATGGCTCCATGCGGCTGCTTTTGAGCTTGAAGAGTGAGCCCTCTTTCAGAGAATGGCTTGTCAATGCAGTTCATGCAAGAGGCTCGTTGGCACCAGAGCGAACGAACCAGCAACAATAAACAAAGCAATCACAAGCCTGTGCTTTGTTGAACGCAGCCATGGTGCAAAGCTGTTTGTCACGATACATGTGAGTTTGTGGTTTGGCGAGGCTCTGTTCTTCAGGGCATGCTGATAGGTAATACGGGGCAACTGCATGGGCAACTGCATGTCCACAGTTTTTCTGAAGTGGCTCTCAAGTTTACACAGCTTTTCCGGATTCCAACCCTGCAAAGGCTTTCAGTGAGGCTCCTTCATGCTGCGCCGTAGCTCTTCAGTTCAGCACAGGCGTCCACGAGCCAAAGCTTACAGAAACCACTCCCGGCATTGACGGGTTGTACCATCTCGATTTTTTATGATTTTTTTTCAATCGGGGGCTCGGCGTCATTCAAGCTCAAAACGACACAACCTGAACTTTTCCATGCTGGTGCTACTGTTGTGTGAAGACCTATTTCAAGTATTTGCTGCAGCTACGTTTAGATGCCACCAAGGGCTCCCGATAGGCGCAAGGGCCTTGATCTAAAAGCCTTCATTGGTAACGGGCAGCTTTTCTGCTGCCTTGGGCCTACTGTTGCTGGTCAGAAGCCAAACTTTGGGTTCAAAAAGGGTGATTTTTCAAAGTTCGCGGACTGTAAGGGAGGTCATGCACAGGCTCCAAATCCAAGTCTTGATCTTATGTCAATTCACACTGTTCTCAGCTGTTGGGATGGGTGAAGTTGCCACAACAGGACAAATGACCCTGGACTTTGGTAACTTTTGATTTTTATTTCATGACGGCCAGGAATGTGGAATTTGTTGGGGCCTCTTTGGGTGGTACATGGGACGGCTTTCCTGTGTAGTCGTTTGTCATGCGTGTGGTCTTTTGTGTGCAGATCCATGGTTTTCGAGAGGATGAGCATGTCCTTGACGCCTGGCAGCAGCTACGAACACAGCTAGGGCACTCCCGAACTCTTGAATTTCTTATCTCGGCCAAGGTGTATCAAAGGGACTATGGTGGCTACCAAGGCTTACAGATGTTGTTTCTCAGGAGGACGTATGCCAAATCAAATGTGCCAATATTAGGGCCCCCCATCTCTCAGACTAGAAAGATCCTTGCTACATGGACCCCGTCGTGTTACAAGAAACTAAGAACACTGATTTTGACCCACAATTGGCGCTTTCAGGGTTATTGCCCGGTTGTGAATTCTCGCAACGTGATTTCTGCTGTTTTGCATGCAGTTGTTGGAATTTGTCCGCTTAAGAGCGTGTAGGCTTTGCAGACCATGCCATCATGGCTTTGGTTAACCCCGTCGTACTTTCTGAATCTTTGAACTGCCGTTACATAGCGAGCTTACTTTTTCCGTATGGGTCGAGAAGAGGTTCAGCTTACATGCCCCAAAAATGGTGTGTTCCCCGCTACATGGACCCAAAACCGCCAGAACGTGTACGAAGCCCTACAAACCCTGGAACCCCAACTCCACCAAAAGAAAGCAGGAGAGATTGCAATGATGGGACAGGAGCCGAGAATCATACCAGTGCTTCAGCAGTGGTTAGGCCGAAGTTTGGAGGCGGACTTATTGGATGCCTACTGTCTGACCCAGCTACTAAGGCATGTGGCTGTTGTCATAGCAACCGGAAGCATCTTCAGAACAGTCCAGGCGGCCTTAGATGTCATCAACGTTCTGTAGAGCACGAATTGCAGCCTCGTCGCCAAAACCAACTAATAATTTGCAATGGGAGCAGCTCCAGTGGAACCATCGATGACGACCACCACGGACCACCGACAAAGCGATGCTGGCCCCAACAACCGATATTGGCTAATCAGGAGGACCCATGTCAGAAGAGGATGACCAACAGGTGGAGCATTCCGAAAGGAGGAATAGAGAGAATGGCTGGATGGGCAACGCTACAATCATTACAATGCCACCCACGCAGGCACAAACTCGGAAATCCCCAGCCAGGAGAACCTCAACGTCAACCACACGGGAAGGCGAGGCACGCACAGAGTGAGGAGCCTCCGATGGAACCAATGACAATTGCCTCCAATCAAGCAGCCCCAGCAATATCATCGATGCCAATCCAGAAGGAGAAGCAGACCAGAATTGAGGACAGTTTGGAGATGGAGGGTGGAATGGAGGAAACGACCGGGAAATCAGAACCGCCGCCGGTGGAGCCCCCGGTGCAGCCAACGATGACCAGCATTCTCACCACCGCGCCAAACAAGTCTTGAGCATGCACCACCTGCCCAACCGTGCCATAGTCGTGACGATTGAGGCCAAAATCAGATTTGACCTTTGAGTCATAGCATGGAAAGGTCGTGTCTAAGAGCTTTGTGATTTTAATCCTTGGTCAACCCCACTGTGTTGTGAACTGTTGGAACTGTCCTGTTGCGATGCATAGAATCATGAAACCTCCTCATGCACCAAGTTCCACGAACCTACAGTTTTCGTACAGCACACGTAGTTTTCCTTCCACCTGCGCAGCCCGGACTTTCGATGGCCTGCTGACTTAGTTGCCATGCCCATGTTTTTTGAGACTCCTCAAATGCATTGCGATCTAGGATGAATCTTGAAGCCATCTTGATTTCCTTGCTACCATTCCCCAATCCAAAAGTTTCACTGTGGCAAAACCGTGGATTCAGGGGGGCGTCCACGCCATTTCGCGCCCTGGAGCTACGGGTCCTACCCCTGCAAAGCAAAGCAACGCAAAAGAAAAGACTGCGACCATATGAATTTCAGACAACCTGGCAGCTTGAAAGCCCAAACCCAAAGCCTCAGGATCGCTGTCTATGCGATCTGGCTGGGGATTGACACAGACTTCAACGAAGAAGTGGTCCGGGCCCTAAACATATGTGCTGTGCAAGCTAATGACTTGGCGTTGAGTTGCTCAAACTTTGAGAAATGTTTTTGGGGCTTGAGATACGTGGGATCTGAATGAGAAACCGTGCTGTCCTGATATCCATACTCTTGTTAGCTCATGATGTTATGAGTTGTCTGGGTGCCGTCAGAGAGATATGTGTCGAAAGATGTGCTTACAGCTCTTGAACTGTACAAATACCTTGGAGTATTCTGATTCGAAGAAGCTGAGGTCAACACCAACCCTGCTTCAGTGTTCTTCTGGGGGGAGCAAGTCTTTTGTACTTTCTTCACAGCAGAGCTGCTCATCCGGTTCTTGGCCGTCAAGACCAAGCGCAAGTGCTTCAAGGACCGACTTTGCTTTAGCAAGAAGAAAAGCATAGGCTCACTGCACATTCTTCCAGCCACTCTGAGATTATCCTTAAATCCAAGAGTTTAGGGGAGAATGCAGGGCATTGAGTCCAGGTGCTTGTTGTGTTACAGGCTAGTGAGCGTGAAGGTCAGACTGGTCGCGCAGCTTGGCCAATCCTAAGTACAAGCGCCATGGGCTCAGGTCTGGCGAGTGCCCTTTGCTCTCATGCAACTCTTAGGAGTGACTGTCCGCACGGCCTTGGGCACGGTCGGGAAACCTGCCTGTTGCAGTTTCAGAGGAAGAGGCAACATCCAGCAAACCCTTGAAGCAGATACCGGGGGCCTGTTTTGCAGCCCTGTCAAGTTTTTTTTTGCAACGACCGCGGCAGAGCTCTAAATTGCCCAAGCACATCATCATGCATCCGATCGCGCGCAAGGTGACAGGACACATCAACATGTTATCGGTCGGAAGAATTCGGCATGGCCGGCACAAGGACTAGTAGGATCAGATGCTGCGTTTGAGCCCATCATGCAAGAGGATTTTTGGTTTGTTTTCGATGCCTTCCTGGTCGGGACGATGGTCATACAGCTTCCCAGCGGCATTCGCAGATGCACTGTTGAGGCTGGATTCTCTCGCATGCTCCCACTGCAATGTGGCCGACTATCCAACACTTTCTTCTGAAATTACCTAACATTCTCAACTTCTAGGTTCCTTGCAATCTTGAACGTGGCCGTTGCAGCACTGGCATAGCTAGTTGTTGCTGCAGAAATTGTCCATGTGAGAATTTGGCAAGCGTTGCTCCGTACAGATGTTGGGTAGCAATCTGTCTGCGCATGTGGTAGAGCTGCATCCAGCTGACTGATGTGACTCCTGTAAAACTAGCTCGGACGCTCCATGACGCTCCATTGAGTGAACTAAACATGTCATGTCTTACAAAAAAGCTGCAAGGGGGCAGTTCTGGAATCTTAGGGTAGCGGCATGTAGCAGCTAGCTGACCAAGGACTTGGCTGGTTCCCGTGGTGCAACTCATGATCCAGCAGTCGGGTTCAGCAAGTGCCTCACCATGATTTTGATCCCAGATGCCAGAAGGTTGAGGGCCCAACACAGCGTAAAGATATGGACCGTTGTGTGGACCCCTGTGCTCAGATTGAGCCCGTCGTCCTGCAAAACAAGCATCAGAGCCATGGGTTCATGTTTAGTGGTCTCCTACAACTGGGATCTTCACGGTCTATAGGCGATAAACGGTGGCCCTAGCTTCAACAAATACACACCAACAGCAAGTCTTCACCTCGAATCGTGCAGCTTCGGCACATTTTCCGGATAGACCTGTATCAACATGCGGGCCACCGTGTATGCACCCAAACAAGTTCCTTACGAAAGAAGCTTCCACAATCGATGCCCCACCGTATATGGGCCTGTTGCCTGACCTCCCACATGTCAGCCTCTACCTTGGGAAGCATTGAAGCTCTCGGCATGATGAACGGTTTTTGGCTACAACTGTTACATGCCTATCCACGCAACAACTCCACGAAGATAACTTCTCCAATCTGGGCATGGATAAACTGAGATCTTGAATACCTCATAACAGAATCTGGCAGCAGTTAGTTTCCCGAGTTCTGGACGAGCAGGAGGGAGATACCCGCCTAGCCTTTGACCGGACTGGGGCCATTTAGTATTAAAAGTTTTCGCCTGATGCAGGAGGTGGGCGTAAACCGCTACATGTTGCTGTAGTTGACAAAGGCTAGACTTTGTGCGCCTAGGTCAACCAGCAGATAGAGAACTCTGCTCTCAACTTACCCTGGACGCATGTTTCAGCTCAATGATACAAACAGCTGAAATGCAAGGTGTGGCTGGAAATGCAAGTGCTCCTCGTCGACGCAGTTGAGAAAGTTTTGCGATGCAAGTGTGGGGAGCTGCCGCCGCAGCCTGTGGCTATGGAGAGGCAAGCAACACCTCCCCTCGAGCAAGCTACTGTATGACTCATGTACCGACAGAGTGGGCACAGTTGGAGTTTCCATATCACTGCTGGAAGCAGCAGGGGTCAACATGGTCGCGTTCGTGGCCGTCAGTCAGGGCAGATTTCCAATATGTAGTATGTGTGCAGAGCGTAATGTCGGCCTCTCCTTCCACGTGGTGGGGTCAAGCCTGAAATGTTGTGATTCCTAGAAGAATGCCTCTCTTCACCTGTCCTATGGCGTCCACAGCTCAGGTGTTGCGAATAGCACGGCTCCTGCGCCTCACGCGTTTGCTGCGCATGGCAAGGCCCGAATTGAGTTATCCTTGACTGAAGTTTATCTACAGTGTTGCTCAGAGCTGTATGATTCCGTTCATGTATGGGGGACAAGCAAACCAATAATTTTGAGTAAGCACGAGTGAAGCCTGGTGCTGTGAGCTAGGTTGTTGCGCTTCATGCCAGAGCTTTTCATCCTCGTGAAGGCGCGATGGGGGCCCCCCATTGGCTCTTGAAGGATCTTCGGGGCAATGCCTGAACAGGGCAGTCTAGAGGGAATGTTAAATCCTTCGGACCAGAGGATGATGAATCGCAGTTCAAGCTGGGGAGCGCCTAAAGGCTGCCTGGGAACCCCAAAAGCGCTTACAGCCCTAAATTTGCCCGCGCCACATGCTTCTGGCCGAGGCCATCATCGCCGCAATGCGCTCCGTGGTCTTCACATTGGCGCTTCTGATGATGCTGCTCTATGCTACCTGGCCTTTTTTGGGAGAGGAATGCTCGTCACCGCCAGTTGTCTTTTGGCATCTTTGCTGCCAATGCCAATGCCAATGCCACCACCACTGCCATGCGCCCCCGCCACCCCAATCACCACAAGCGGCACCGCCACCACCAGAACTTCTATTGCGACAAAGAAGAGGACTTTGGAAATCTCATCACAGAGATGCTTCATCCAAGGTTTCCAAAGATTGGAAGCCAGACATATTGCCACCAAAAGTGACATGTTCCACAAAAGTGTCAGCAAGCTTCGTCTCCGAATGGCGGAGTCGCATTACGAAATCATTGTTAATACCTCAGAACAGGCTTTCTCCATCGCCTTCACACAGTCTCTCAAGGGGACCGAGCCCCTTGGACTTTCATGAGTTTGTCTGAAGAAGCACCTCTAAGCGTTGTGATGAACCTTACGAAAGCATACGAAAGCTATACGGTGCGGGAGTACCCAGACATCCTTTCGATGCCCATGAACAGCGCAGGAAGTTTTGCAGACGTTCAGCTTATCATTCAAAGGAATTGCGCATTCTGTGATAATGCGAAAAGTCACAAAATGAAGGTGTGGCAGCGCGTATTTTTCGAACGTCCTCCTGTCCATGCAGAGTCTCCTTGGCTGCAAGAAGACCCCGGCTTGATGACCCTTGTATTTCGTTGTTTACTAGAGGATGCATAGGGCTGAGTAGTCGTGGTTTGGGTGGAAGCTTATTATTGGGGGGCCCCTGAATGACGGGGCTTAGGGTCGTCCGCAGAATGCTTGTGTGAAGGATGACAATCACGGTAGTCTTTCGTACTAGTACTCAATGTCAGGTTACCACAACATTTACGTGACGGTAGCAAGAGAGGCAGTGCGCAAAAGAACTACAATTCGCCTCGGGTACTGAAAGGAGTTCAGCGGGACGTATTGCTTGCACCACGTAGATTTTGTGTATCCCAGCTGGCCTGACTTGCGTTATTGCCAACATCATGGCCCGAATTAGGGCTATCAGCCTCAAAACATTGCTATGCAGGGTCAGACTCCAGCCGCAGGCGTCACCCTCGGCCAGCGATCTGTGTAACATGAGTAGCTGCCCAATGTCTGATCTCTACATGGACGATTCCAAAAAATTTTAGTGTGGTACGGACAAAGTGAGGAAGACGCTCTGAGAGGAGACAAAAATCACTGGAACATGGTTCCTGACATGTTACAGCTGCAAATCTAAAACTTGCCAGCTACAGTAGCGAGTATCCAGAGAGGTGCCCAAAGCGAGCATCGTTTGCAGAACAACCCCGGCTGTTGCCGTTGAGAACCAGGGGTCCGCAAGCTCAACGCCTGAACGCTCCAGGCCAATACCTCTGAGCCTGTCCAGCGTAAGCATTACGTAGTAGTAGTTGAGAATGATAGCAGAAAAGGGTGGAAACTGGTAAGACGACAGCAGCAGCCAAATCTTTGATACCAAACACTAAGCCTGTGAGTTGAATGAGGATGCAGCAGATTGAAATGCGACTTCACTAGATTTCGGCTCTGGCCTTTCCATTGGCATTCTGAGGTTTCTTCATCTTCGGCACCCTCTTGGATGAAGTGTGGGACCTTGTTTCCGCAATGGTCAATGAGAAGACTCTTGGTCTGGTGTACAACAGGATGCAGGGCAAAAGGTAAGTTGGCCAGGGAACTTAGCAGCTGCTTGGGTAGGATTCTTCCACGATCTGGTCACTTAGATATGTCCTCCCCCAGATAGTAGAGGCTCTCTATCAACCCTGGAATCCCCTTTGAAGGAGTTCTTCTTAGGGTTCGGTCCTATTAAGGGGTCTTTAGGAATATACTTTATTCGGTGATGTTCCAAAGTTCTCGGAACAAAGCTGCAGATCACGCACGCAAGGTTGAACATCCTTTGTGCAATGGCCAGGCCCGTGGCATGTAACATATCAAACTTCACGATGCAAAGGTTGAGCTTCTTCCAGCCACGATTCATCAAGTTTTACGATACAACGAACTTTAGAAATCATACCGGAAGACTGCTAATCTGCACACAAAGTCCTGCCCAAAGGCGCTTGAACATTGCAAGCTGCAGCGAAAGCACCGGGGAGAGTTCCGCAAAACCTACATACTTCCTGCACATTCTGCTAGTCCAGAATTCACCAAGTCCCTGTACAATCATGTAAGGCTCTGGCTCGCGCTTACTGGCCTTTACTTCTTCATCATCTTTTCTGCCGTGACGATCATGAACATGCTGAAGCTCTGCCAGATTTGGAAGGTTGGCGAGTCATAGGTTACCTTGTGGGGGTCCAAGATGCTGCTGGA